GCGGCAGGGTGCGCGGCTCCCCGCGCCTCGCACCAGGGGTTCCCACAGCAGTTGCTCTCGGAGGGGCTTCCTGGTGCCGCTTTGTGCCGCTCTCGCTGGAGCGCAGAGGCACCGGCACAGTCTCACGGGCCACCTCGCGCCGGCACGGCGCGTCCCGCACGGCCGTGCGCCCGCAGGTTTTGCTCCGTGCTCCCCCCCCTCAGGGTAATGCTGATCGAAGGCACCTCCTTGTTCCCAGGTTCTGTTCCCACCTGCTCCTCCTCTCCAGCGCGGTACCAGGCGTCACATGCTGGGCTTTCCTGCCCGTCACTGAGCTGATCCGAGACAATGGAATGCCAAAGAACGTCACCGCGTTTCCTAGAAGGACGGTGGGGAAGTGTGGTCCCCGCTTCTGGTTTGGGCGCTCATAGATGCTGTGAAAGGCTCTTCCGCAGGTTGCCCGAGCAGGCACTTTTGGCAAAGCCTCTGTCCCTACAAAGACAGGCCTAGTCTCCTTCAGTAATTTCTGCTAAATTTAACATATGCTGAAAGTGAAATTTCATACCTCATGGCCAAACTTCTGCCCATAATTATACCAGTTCTTTCTAAAGGTAAGTCTTGAAACTGTTCTAGCTGGAGGGCATTAGTTCACGAGCACCTTTTGTTATTGCTTTCACTTTTAATGGATGTTTCCTACAAAAGTAAATAAAGCCAGACATTTTTTAAACTATATGACTGGTGAACCACACAGTTGCAGCAGCTGAGGTGTCTAAAACCACTGCTTACACATGTATGTACTTTGCAGGATTTCAGAATGAGAGCATCCCTCATCAGAATGAGAGCATGAGAGCATCAGAATGAGAGCATCCCTCATCCTCTCTTCAGAATGAGAGCATCTCACATTGTGAGAACAGGATGCCAGCCATTGGCTTCATCTCTGCCTGGCAGTCTATTATATATAGTATGACAGACTATTTATTATATGTCACCATACCTTCTTTTTGCACATCAAAAGATACAAAGTAAATTGTGTGCTATTTTATATTCTAAATCGTAATACAGATACAGTTAAGTGACTCCTGTGCCTGCACAGGGTTAGACACATACAGTGTTACAGGACTGTATTTTGGATGTAATTAATGAAAGGCTGTGGTGCATATTCTCAGCCAGACACACACAGCTTAGTGTGGTAATTTTCTTTTTAAAAAAGCTCATAACCGTATGTTAATACTCTCATAGCATGACACAATGTGTGCAAGGCTGGGATTTTTTTCCCTATAAAATTTTCTATTGATCAAAAAAGAATTTAATGCTCTGGAACTCTGAAGTGTTGTTGATTTGAAAAAGAAAGGTAAAACACACATAACTTCTGTGATAGGAAAGTGTTCAGTCAATAGTTGTCCTGTTCACCAGGGGAGTTAAGATGCATCTGACTGTGGGAAATCCTTTTCTCTTTGGGACCATGTTTTTCCTTCTGTTTCTGCACCTTTTTTTTTTTCTTTTCTGTTCTTTATTTAATCTCATATGCTCCACTTTGTAAGAGCTCACAAATTCAGTAGGACTAAAAATGAGGAGAATGATGTTCTTGAACCAAATGTGGTGCCCCCACATTTCATCTCCAATTATAATCACCGATGAAACACACTTTTACACAACTGCATTTTACCAGAAACTTCACAGAAGGCAGAGGACTCTGTCTCGACTCTCTTGAGAAGCTGCTGCTTCAGTTTTTATTTCCAATCTTGACTACACCATTGCAGTACAGTTTCCAGACTTCATTAGAGAACGTTTCTTTATTTACAGTAGAGAGTGTAATATAAAATTATATTAAAATGGAGTATTGAAATGATACCTGCATTAACCTCCCAAAACAGGGGCAAAGCAACGTGTGCTGGTCTGAAAACTGGACAATTGCAACTGCACCAAGTGTGAAGAAACCAATTCCTCAGCAACATGGATACTGACATAGGGCTGCTGGTAACATTTGTGGTTGGAGATTGATTTCTGAGGGTACTAGAGGTGTTCTACAGCCACAGTATCGCTGCCATCAAACGACGCCAGAATCTTCTGGTATCATTTTATTCCAGTTCAAAATAAATGGAATCAATCTCTCCCCTTTTTTAAAAGAAACTTCAGAAAGCTGACATAAAATTTCTTGTTTATGATATTGATGGGAAACTGATAACATATTTGCATAATTACAAAACATCAAACATGACTAGAGACTTGCCGATTTTACTACTAGATCCATTTTTTCTAGATCTTAGCACAGAGAATGACATCCAACAAATTTCCTGTTAACCTGATTTTGACATTTGTGAATCCATGTTGTTCCAGTAAGCCTCGATATTCAGAGCCACTTCTCTCCTTTCCCTCTGTCTGCACAAGCATGTTCAAAGACTGCAGTAGCACTGTGCTCCTGTTCTTCTTCTCATCATCCAACACCATTTCAGCCAGCAAAATCCCACAGCCTAATTTAAAAAACAAATGCATGCAACAGTACTAATCCATTATTGGGCAAGTGAATTTCTGCTACCATATATAAAGGTGAAAGCTACAAAACACAGGTGATTTATCATTTATGGATTTGCTTTGCTATTAAATGACTAATCCACTATTAAATGTACAATCCACTCCTCTCACAAAATGGAGGAAACTCCCTTCCACACTATGGGACAAATCAAACACAAGTCATGTCTCTGTTTTCAGGGGAAAAGAGGATGACTTCAGTAGACTCTGCATGAGGGTTATCCCACCTTCAGACCCGTCGAGGCAAAAGGGAAGACAAAGAGAGGGCTACTGACAAAACAAGCATTATTGCACTTAATTGTCTTTTGGCCTTGCATCTTATGTGGTGCTTTCTCCTGGCACAGCGTGGGTAGGAGGCCACCAACTCAGATCAAAACAGCAGCATTTTACAGCGATTTTAGTATTACTAAATGCTGCATAACATTCATATCTTTCTGACCCTTAAGACAATCTCCTCAAAGCCATTCCTACCTGTGCACAGTCATTTAACAACTGATAAAAAGTACATTAAACCTAACATGGCAGTTTCTTAGGGAAGTGACCAAGATCTGCAGATAAATAAGATTGCTGAAACCTTGGTGTTAACTATTAGGAGTCATGAAAGTCCTTCTGGCCGTTTATTAATGAATTCCCTTTTTCTTCCCTGTATCATCAGCTACCTTACTAAATGCAAGTACAAGCAGCCTACCCTGTGATGAACACATGACACAGGTTTGCTTCTCAAAGAAAAAGGATTAGACAAGATGTCTGAGGTGAGCCTGAACCTATATTATCTGTCCCATGGGACTTTCCTGCCCTAATTCAGTCATCCCTGGATTAGATAGCTGTGTTTCAGCTCGCCCTCTTAAATATGCTCTATCCACTATGAAATGTATAATTGCTTTTCTTAGGAAAACCAGGAAACTTCCTTTCACAGACAGGTGAGACTAATCAATCTCTGAAAATGCCTGGTTTTCTACTGATAGGGGAGCTCAAGGTGACTAGATGATTCAAATGCCTAATATTCAGGTATCTAAAGTTAGGGTGATGAAGCCCATTTGTAGTGGTTCTGTGGTTTCTATGCCCCCACCCCCCTTTCTGTGTGATTCTCCTTTGCCTTCAACAGAGAGACCAGGGAATTGCTGTTCCTGGTTACACAGCAGAAGTTGCTAGGTAGAGTTAATGCAGGACTACCATTTCTAAGTCACCATTATATTACTGCTTTGCAAGATGATGTGCACAAAATTTGTGCACTCTGAAAGGAGGACACAAATAGAATGGTCATTATAACTTCCCACAGAAAGTTATTTGCAGGTAACACTAGGGTAATCAGGGAAAAAAAGTATCCAGAAAGCACAGCCAATGTGGGAAGAACACATTCAAAAATTAAGACACAGTAAAATAAGTTAGTACAGAGGAAAAAAAAAATATTTCTACAGTTAATGAAGATTTACTAATGTAATTGAAACTTCATGAGAGGGACTGAAACAGACCTAACCCTTCAACCCTTTCAGGAAGCATGCTATGATGAAGCAATTTTGGCCATGGTTTTATAAGAGATAAAAACTAACAATCATAACAGTCTTTTCTGAATTAAAAAGTAATTTAATCCAGATCATCATTGTTCCAGCCAAAAGATAGAGGCGGGGAGGGAAGCGTCAGCCCTCCAAAAACATTTTTTTAAAAAACAAAATCCCACATTAAATGCTTTCACTATCCAGGAGTCAGCCAACATCCAAAACTGAACTGAGAGAGCTCACACAAAGGGGCTTAGCCATCTAATAGCTCTTCCCAAGATTTTGTGCAGGGTGGCTCAGATGACATACTACCCTTTGCTTCTGTCCAGGCACAAGTACTGTTATTAGCTGTAACAACATCAAAAATTGATATAAAAATGATTAAGCTAGGACAGCCAACCAAGCTGTGTCTCTTTTGCTCAAAAACTTTTCTTTCTCTTCAAGGATTCTTAAACTTCATGTTCAGTGAACTGAAGTTCTTGTTTCTATTATTCATCTATCATTCTGTTAATCCCCATGATTATCCACCTCAAGAAATTGTTTTCTGTGCATCATGTTTCCTCCAAACTGTTGTTAAGCCAGAATGTGGGTAAAAAAGACAGCATCACCAAGACGACATAGCTGAGTGTCACTTCCCAAGGAACAACAAAAAAACCTACAGACTTTATTGGCAGAAGTTAATTTTAAGATTTTAAAACTCAGCCTCATTATTCTTCATGTCTTGATTAGCCAACAGGTCCCAATTTCCCTCAGTTATGGCCATTGTTTAGGAAGTCTTTTCAGTGTAACACCGTTAAAACCACCTCTTCTACCAGTCAGCCAAAGATACCAGCTTTCTCCAGAGCAACTGAAAAACTTATTTTTGACATTAATGAGAGAAGACGAGTTTAATTTCTCAGGTAACTGGGCTACCTCAAATGATTATAGAACAGCTTAGGCTGAAATGGACCACAGGAGATCTCCAGTCCAACCTCCCGCTCAAAGCAGGGCAGCTCTACACTCAGTTCAGCTTGTTCAAGGCTTTGTTCTCAGACCTTAAAACCTCCAATGACAGAAATTCCACAACCTCTAGGCAACCTGCTCCAATGCTTAATTATCCTGAGAGTGCAAAGCTGTGGTGCATTACCACAGACACCATGCCCAGGGGACTAATGCTTACTGTGTATAGTGGTGTGCTTTAATCAGAGAGTACATTGAGGCCGTGTGGTAGCCAAGCACATTCTATTCAAATTTTACAGTCAGATACATAGTACTTAAAGGTACACTTTTAAAGTCTGTGACAGTTACAGGTGTGCCAACTTGAGGATTGAAAAATTCTGACTCAGTTTATAGCAGCTTGAAGAATAGCATTATTAACTTTATGAGTAAGTATGAGATGAGAAACTTCTAACTGCTGGAATAAGTCTCCCTAAAGATACAAACCTGTTAAGCATAATGGCAAGCTTCATGGCACTATGGAAAAGAAATATTCTACATTATTCAGTTGTTGAATATTTTGCCTTATCTCTTTAAATGTCTGTACAGATGACATCAGTCAAATTTCCATTCATAAAAACATGCTGAGAATTCAAGACCCCAATGTGGTAAAAAGTCTGACACTCCTCAATTTTGTGCAGCTGAAATGCTCTATAGTAAGCATGTTTCTTACAGTGAATTGAATCACAGTGGCACTTTTGCTTTACTCCCTGCTCAAAGAGCAAAGTAACTGCTGATTACGTAACATAAGGCAGAGTATACCAGGCAGATACAACTCTCACTCTTGCTGATCAACTCTCTTTAATTTGCTGAAGTTGGCGATTCAACATAGGCATGGCCTCTTCCATACGGGTTTAATCACTTACTGCTGTAGAAGTGTGACAAGCAAGAAACTCACAACTGATAGAGAAGAAAGATAGTTTGAAAATGCAACTTTAATCTCCAGGAAGACTTCCACTACAAAGTACACTTTAAATAGAAAAAAATAAATATCAATGAAGTATCAGGAAAAATAAATATTATAAGAGGTGACATTAGTGACAAGTTACTTGAAGAGATGGGATACAGGATATACTTTTCCAATTAAAAACTGGAACATGAAGAAACATCTATTTTTAATTTTCATAGAATTTATACATAAATCCTAAAACTCATCTCAAGTAATGAGACAAAGTATATATGGCCATTTAACCATATTCAGAAAATCTCCAAGCTGACAGGAACCAGTAAGAACAACTCTCAACTGCAGCCTATGTGGGTACATGCTGTGGCTAGAGGTCAGAGGCTGCTGAAGTTTCACTATGACATTATAGCTGCTGTAGGAACATGTTTGAACTTTGTCCTATTTTAACTTTTGCCTGAGGAAAAAGTGCTTAAAAAAGGGTATCCTGGAGATGTTTTTCAGTAAAGTGTCACAGCAAAGTGAACAAGAGGACTAGCACCCTCAAATTCAAACAGATGGTACAGTATTCATTTTTATTTTTTCATTTCTGATAAAAGTAAGTAATAATGGCTGAATACACTGCAAACAGAATTATCTTTAAGGTCCAAGAAAAATAAGGTATTACTGCGCCTCATAGAAGACTGTAGTTTTATCTTGCTGTGCTATACAGCTATGTCAAGTTTGCAAGTTAGCGGAAAGAACTGGACGTGAAGGTATTTAATACACAGGAGCTTTGGTCTGCTCCAGACACTTTTTAAATGCATAGAACTCACTCCTGAAGAAGCTGCAGTCCGACTTTTATTCAAGGCTTGTAACAACTATGCTTCAAATAAAGGATCAAAATGATACTAAACTGATAATATGTGCTGGTTGACAATGGGTATATTGCATGAGTATTGTAAAAACTCAGCATCCCGGTTTGCTTGTGGGCACACTATGGTGACAGACTCTTCTTGAAGCACAAAACAGCATCTAGTAAGTTTCCTGTGATCTTAATTTGTGTATTTGTGAATCCATATTTCTCCAGTAGCTGTTTATATTCTGAGCCACTTCTCTGCTTTCCTTCAGTCATACTGAGGGACTGTAGTACAGCTCTAGGAGGGTAAGTCTTCTTTTCGTCAAGCACAATTTCTGCCACTAGCAAGGCACTTCCTGCATATCCAAAACAACCAAAAGTGGTTCAGTAAAGTATTTCTAGCTTCAAGTTTTTAGTGTTTTGTTCAGTTATAGAGGACCCTCAGACTAAGTATTTTAATGGTCTTCAGTAGAAACCAGTGATAGAACTTTCAATCATCTCTTTCTGGAAGCAACCATTAAACTGTTAAAAGGAAAGGGGACTTCAGAGCACTGTCTCCACTTCAATAAAGTTCGGATCACTTCCTGACTATGCTCAGTCTTGTTTCCATTTGAATCAAGCAACTCCTGTAAACATCTGTCATACCCCAATCTTTGCATATGGTTAAGACAGCCACCCACAATTTTCTTTCAGTTTATAACAGGATTATGCTTTGTAGCCTAGTCTACTTTTGAATGCTCTCCTATGAAACAAACTTCATAGCTACAGTTAATCCTGTTGGATTAAGCAATCAGTTGATTTTAGCAGTCAGGCTTTTCTGCTTTTTGTTGTCTTCTTTGATCTTTAATACTGTCCAAATATGAGTCAATAGTGTGCCCTAGCAGCCAAAAGGTCCAACCATGCCCTGGGGTGCATCAAGCACAGCATAGCTAGCTGGTCGAGGGAGGTGACTGTCCTACACTACACTGGTGTGCCCCACCTCAAGCATGGCATGCAGTTTTGGGTGCCTCAACATGACAAACTATTAGAATGTGTCCAGGGGAGGACTACCAAGACAATGAAAGGCCTCAAGGACCAGAAAAAGTAACTTGTTTTTTCAGCTTGGAGAAGGCTGAGGGATGACCTCATCAGTCTACAGCTTCCTTAAGAGGGGCAGCAGAGAGGGAGGTCCTGATCTCCTCTTTCTGGTGACCAGTGATAGGACATGAGGAGATGGAATGAAGCTGTGTCAGGGGAAGTTCAGGCTGAACATTAGGAAAAGGTTATTCACTGAGAGGGTGGTTAGTCACTGGAACAGGCTCTGCAGGGAGGTGGTCATGGCACCAAGCCTCTCAGAGTTCAAGGACTGTCTGAACAACACTCTCAGTCATGTCATATGCTTTAGACAGTCCTGCAAGGAGCAGGGAGCTGCACTTGATGATCCTTATGATCTCTTCCAACTTGAGATATTCTGATGCAAATGTAGGAGAAAGCAGAAGAGGCTACATATTTCTCATGGAATATGCACATAAAGTAGTGCTGAACTTCAGTTTACCATATTCTGCACACTACTGAGATAGCAAAGTGATAGCAAAACAAACTGCTTCTTCTTGATTAACCTAAAGGAACTTTAATTAGACTACTTGTAGGTATAGACATAAGCACATCCATAGTTATTTGAACGATACAGGACTTAGTAAGAAAGACTGGTTATGGCAGAGATAGTGGAGATGAAAAAGTTGTATGTGAAGCCTGCAACTACAGTAAGGGCTTATTTTATATAGTTTTATTAGCAGCTTTATTTCCTTTCTTCTTAGTAGGTGTTACCATAATGCAAACATAGACATTCAAGCAAAGGCTACTATGACTGGACAGAAAAATATGCTGGTTTAGTATAAACTTCTTATAATTACTCATTATGTTTATGCATTAACATGCACCTTTAAGCCCACAAGATGAAAAACTTACCTGGTTTGCAAACAGCTGATATCCTGCTTAACAGCACATGTATCTTTTCATCAGGCCAGTCATGAAGAACACGTGAAAGGATGTAAAGATCTGCTTCTGGAAGATTATCCTTGAAGAAGTCACCTGTTGGAAAGCAGAGTTAGTACATTCCTACAGAAACCACAGAGTACATTCCTACAAAGTGAAATGGAAATATTGCGGAGGAACTAGAAGTTTCAGCAGAGGTAAAGAAAGAAACAAGAATGAACAGGTATACTTATGCACTGATTTGCAGATAAGGAAACACAGTTAAAGAGCAAATCACAGTTAAGAACTCTGTAATATATAAAAACGGAGAGAAAGCCTAAAGTAAGGAAGGAGACAGTCATTTGTAGCCACCATGTTGATATTGCCTAGAAAAGAACAGCCTGAGACAAAGACATGCAGCCTCTCCTCCCAGTGGTACTCAAAAATGACTAATTCAGGCTTCTTTATTTATCCACATTCTCCAACCATAGCCAGTTTGTTTTCATCCCCACAGGACTGAGACATACAATGTCCCCATTTAGCATGGGTGAGCCTACACTGCCTTGTACTAAGACACATTTGGAGTTGAAGCAGGGTAGCACACCATCTTCTGCAGCAAAAGAGCCTACTCCATGCTCCAGGATAATAGAATAGGACAAAAGAACATGTATTACATTTACCCGATGCAAATGTCACCGGAGCCATGTGTTGTCCTGATGGCTGAAAGTAAGAGGTGTTTGCAATGACTTCTGGAAGGTCAAATACTGTGACCTTGAGATTTGGGTATATTTGTACTAATTCATGAGCCAGAGCTCCAGTGCAACCTGTTGAAAGTTTAAAAAAAAGAATAAATCAGATCATCTCTGCCAGCATTTGCAGACATTTTTAAAGACAAGACTGTATATAACGTTAGAGACATCAAATCAGAATTAGACATTCAGCTCCACAATTAACATGGGCAATAGCACTTCCTGGTAGATAAAGCGATGATTTCAACCTTGAGGAACACACGTATGACTCCTTACTGTCATAACTCTTGATACCAGTACCTCGGGGGGTTTTGGGGGGGTAGAACATTAGTGAAAAGGCAAGGACTTTAATTTGTGGATGAGAAGCACTAGAACTATTGACCATTTACAAAGCACTGATACATGAAGTTTGACACATGCTCTCCAGCATGGTGAAAGATAAGAATGGTAAAGTCTTGGAGTCTCTGCACAAGTGGCAAAGGTTGCACCAGTATTGTGTTAATTCCTCTGACATGCTGTCTACCTCCCCAGGCACTGAGTAAAGTGTTCTTTACTCTTCAGCAGATCATTCCTTACTCTAAACACATAGCAAAAAAGGACACTAACAAGAGTTTCTACTGGTATCACTGGTCTTCAACATTTTGGTGGGCACCTTAGATATTAATAATTACACCAACACACAAAAAAACAATTCTCAAAGAATCAAAACTTTCTGTTCTAGCAGTGCAGTGTTTCAAGTTTGACACTGCAATATAGAAGGATTCAGAAATAAATCATTCATTACTTTTGAAAATCTTGGACATGCCAAAGGACAACAACAGCACAGTTGAAAATAGAGCTCCCAGCCCAATATTCTATCAGCTGAGCCACAAACCATCTTGTTCTCTGTGTTGAGCCATGTCAGTACATAACTGAAAGTAGAGTTACTTAAATGGCATTTGAGTCGTTTGAAATAAGTGAATGTTTGTCACAATCAGTTATCTGCACTCAGTCCTTTTATTCTGACAATACCAGAAAAATAGTCCCAGTAAAAATTACTGCAGTTCTAGTAGAAAAAAAAAAGTATAAGTAATAAACTATGGAATAGAAATCAAGCTTTTCCCTTTTAATTTGTATACAAGTTCAATTACAGGCAATACCTCCTAAATCACAAGCAGATTTAAATCGTGAAAGATCAAATGCTGTAGCCACATCTCTGGCTGTCAGGTGGGCAATGCTGTGCATGGCAGCCATAAAACGCTGCTTCACCTCCTGGCTGTGATAATAGTCCTAAAAGGGGGAAAAAAACACAGTAATTGAAATTTATTTTCATTACTTAACTAAAATTATGTATAACCAAAGCAGTAGGTGCAAACTATTAACATTAAAACTCTAAAATTAAAAGATGAGTTAAAAGTGTCATTGACAAATGGCTCATCCAAATCCTTTGCCATTTCACTGTAGCAATAAGCAGATTTTTGCATCCTCTCAAAAATTCTGATCAGAGGTCTTCTGCAGGGCATCTCAAAGGACAGACTTGGCCGGTTTGAACCTGGTCTTGAATGTCCCAAGGGCTGTTAAATTCAACACTTCTGCCTACTGAAGCTGGGGTAACATAACAGAAGGGAGGGATAATTTGAGAAGTGCTTTTTAAAGATATACTGTGCCTTTGATATACATTTACTAACACAGCAATTTACTTACTCCACAGCAAGAGGTCTCTAGACTTTAAACTGTTTGAAATTAGTTTTTTCTTTCAGTCTCCTTAAGTGCTCCTCCCTGATATATTCACAGATTGCTTTAATTTAATTGACATTTATTCTCCCATGATGGAAAAATAACTGTATGATTGGACCATAACTTAAACAAGAAACATTAAAGCTCAAACTGGGTTTTTTGATTAGGGGAGACGAAAGTATTCAGTACCAGAACCTCATGCCTTTATCTTTTAAATGATACATAAGCATGAATCTCTTTGTCTCTTTCATACAGATTTCAGTTATGTCTGGCTTTACAACTACCAAGAAGTGGAAGCATTTCCAGGTATGCATAGTGCCACAGGCAGCCCATATATTCTGCTTAGACACACCATCCTGCATGCATATGTAGCCCAGGCCTGAACTGGCCGTGACTCCTGCCACAAGCATCACCCAAGGAAACTCAAGTTGGTAATCCAGATGTTTAACAAAAGGATGAGAACCAGTTCAGCTAATGTTAAAACACTTAATTTGCACATAAATTTCAGCACCTACTGCAGCAGTTATCCTAAAGTATCTAAATCCTCTTTAGAAGAGCCTTTGAAGGATTCCTAAAGGAGGCACTGTTCCCCAGTAAAGTAGGTACTAACAGGACGTTCTTAAGCCTCCAAAAGCCCTTATTTCCTTTAGGAGACTGGCTTCATCAGCATCTAGAAGTACAAACTCAGAACCACAGGATGTAGTCTCAAGTACACTTTAAGCCAGCACTGCTGTCAGAGATAAGTCCTGACCTATTCTCCCACTCACTCAAGTCCTTTCCTTAAACAGGCATAAATATTTATGCCCCTCAACCTGTTTTACCAGGTGGACAACTGACAAATTAGGCTAATTATAACTAAGTGATTCTCCAGTCTGAACATAATCTATCTGGGCTAGCATTGAAAAAGGAATGCTACAGAGATGGAAACAGATAGAAGAAAGGATTACAATTCTTATCAGCAATATATACCAGCTTGAAGAATATACAAACTTACAAATCTTGATGAGATTAGAACCCTTCCCCACTGCATCAACATGAAGCAACTTTGAAAACAGATTTGATTACACAGTCAGCACAGATTGAACCTGGATGCACATCAGTACCAAGTGATTGGCATCCAATATGGAGGAAGTGCATCTGTGATAAGGTACTATTTGGTGTTATAAAAGAGAGACAAACGGAAATTGAACAAGCCCAGAGATTGTTCTGAGTGTGTTAGCTGGATGGACAACATTTTAACCAGAGAATTTTTGTCAGCACTCAAATTTCCCAGTATATTCTGTGATTGCTCCAGCACTTTAGAGCTTAAAGTTGAAGAAACAGCAGTCTGGGATCAGTGAGTTACATTGTGTTTCTATGATTTCTGAGACTGATCAGCTTTCTTAGATGGCTCTGTCTCCATTTGCCCCTAGATCCAGTTCTGCACTCCTCACAGCTGGTTTTGATACTAATAAAGACTTCATACTACCTTAAATAAATCATCTGCTTTCTTTCCAAAGGCTCTATGGTTCTGTCTGCTGCCTTCTTTGACAGCAGACTCCAAGTTTGTGAAGAGTGGCCAAAGGTGGTCATTAGAATGGATAATGTAGCCATGAAGCGAGTATTCACCATCTGAAGTCAGGTAGGCATTTGCTGAATCTGTATTACTGTAACCTTATGAGAAGAAAACAATTGTAACCATCTTTGTTTCAGTACTTTACAACTGTCTTTTATAAAACAAAGGCATGTTTTCTTGTGTAGCTGTTAAATAGCTAGCAAATCTTGAACTTATGAACATATTTTTTGTGCAAAGATTTCTATAAAATAATTCTGAAAGTCTTCACGTTCTTAAAGGAGCAAGTACTTTGTGTATAAAAAAAATTCTATGCTGGAAGATATAGACAGGCACAGATTATTTTATTATTTTTTAAACCAAAGTACCACAGACACCTAATATTCAGGGGAGAGTATTAGAAGCTCCTCATTCTTGACTGCATTTTTCTTCAGATTATGTCTTCTCCTTCCCTTAAATTCAAGCTTTCTGCAGCATGTTTTGCCTTTAGGACTTTGTCCTTGATCTTGTCCTCTAACAGTTGAAAGACCCCTTTATTTCATTTTCTCAGCACTTGACCATTTTAAGTCTTACTATGTAAATGATGCATACAGAAACTTAAAACTACACAGTGCAGACTGAAAAAGTTAATCCTAATACTGACTCTCTCACCTACATACACCTTCAAGCACTGTTTCAGTTAGGGGCACTAAAATTTAAGCTGTTGTTTATGAGGGACACATTCCAGAGCTCTCCTCATTAAAACCCTGATTACCTACTTAAGACTGTGACTCCACTACAGCATGGAATAGAATTTGGTCTTTATTTTAGGTAGTATCACAGACTCATTTAGGTTGGAAAAAAACCTTGAGATCATTGAGTTCAAACATGATCTTAACACTACGAAGTCCACGACTAAACCATGTCCCTAAGCACCACATAAACATGTCTTTAAATACCCCCATGGATGGTGACTCAGCCATTTCCCCAGGCAGCCTCTTCCAGCACTTGATAACCCTTTCAGTAAATAAATTCTTCCTAATATTCAATCTAAACCTCCTCGGTGCAACTTCAGGCTATTTCCTCTTGTCCTATTGCTTGTTACTTTGGAGACAAAATCAACACCCACCTCGCTACAACCTCCTTTCAGGTAGTTAAGAGTGATGAGGTCTCCCCTCAGCCTCCTTTTCACCAGACTAAACCCCAGTTCCTTCAGCCGCTACTCATGAGACTTGCCCTCTAAACCCTTCACCATCCTCACTGCCCTTCTCTGGGCATGCTTCAGCACCTCCATGTCTGTCTTGTAGTGAGGGGCTCAAAACTGAACACAGTATTTGAGGTGCAGCATCACCAGTGCTGAGTACAGGGGGACAATTACTCCCCTAAACCTGCTAGCCACGTTATTTCTGATACAAGACAGGATGCTATTGGCCATCTTGACCACCTGGGCTAACTCATATTGAGCCAGCTGTTGACCAACACCCCCAGGTCCATTCCTGCCAGGCAGATTTCCAGCCACCCTTCCCCAAGCCTGTAGCACTGCATGGGGCTGTTGTGACTCAAGGGCAGACAATACATCTGAGCTATTACGCTACTCCCTGGGACTGCCCATGCAGCTTACTACAAGTCTGGTCAGTAAACCATGAAGCGATCTAAGCATTCCTCTAAGGAAACCTGAATGTGTTCATGAGAAAGCCTACCCCAAAATTGAACAATTCCAGCTACTAAGGAAAGCAAAGAAGCAACAATTCATTCTCCTTTTCCCCCAACCCAAGTTATCCAGAATATCAAGACAGACTCTCTGAACTTCAAAGCATCTCTTTCAGTCCTGCATGTCTTTCAGTACTATATGCAGTTGCAGAGAGAAGTTAGTCACCTTGTGGTGTTTTCTCCAGTAATCCAAGCGCAGCACATGCATCAAGGAGTCTTTCGGTTCCACACACAGAGGCTCCAATCTCATTTGCAATATCCACAGCCTTCAGTGGACCTTTATCTTTCAGATTATCAAAGATCTTCAGCTTAGAGGCTACAAACAGAGCCTACACATAGGAAAAAAATTGTTAGCTTAAAAGACTTCAATCAAGAAACAAAAAAACCTGTACCTTCTTCCTAGAACTATTCTACACAATTACTGTTCTTTAAGAAGTGCAACACACTTCAACAAAACTAAAAGCTGCTATGGTATGTTTCCTTCCCTCTCAGAGGGTTTCATTATCTTAGGTAAGTTACAAAATTTTGAACAGAGGTTCAAAGAAGTTTGAACAAAGGAACTCAAAATACTCTGGAATGCAGCCTACAGATTTTGTAGGAAGACCACCTCTATATTCAGGTATTTAGCATATCCCCATCTGTAAGATTGTTCCATAAGGTTGAACATTCTTAAGCATCTGAACCATGGCCAAAAGATCATAATCTGATTTACCCAAAACCTAAGGAACTGGAAAGCTCTACTAGGGCAGTGTAACAGCTTCAGTTGCTATAATACTGGTCTTTGTTTAATAAAAATAAAGGAAAAAACCTCAGAGCACAACTGTACCACATGTACACCTTAGCAGGACATGTACACATGGAATGAGGGAGAGAACAGCTCTCAGTATTCTGAAATCGTTAAACCACCTAAACCCAAGGAATTTATGTAGAACACAAGAGTGTAAACTCACACAGCAATCAGAGAATCCGTTTGTTTGCAACTGCAGGAAACTATAAGGCACTTAATCAAAGGTAGTCAAGGAAAAACAAAATTGATTGACATGCTGTTTAATGAAAATCAAACAGAGAAAGAGAGATAGGTCTGCTACTTTGTGTGTATATGTTTTATCATCTTCATCCTCTTTTTACAGTTTCCTCTGTTATTCTAGTAAGAACATATAGCTGAGATTTATTATAATCTGGGCTGTCACAATACTGAGCCACTTGCATCTAGTCTACACTATTTGGCTTGCAAGACCTACCCAGTCTTTTGACTGACACCACCTGGAAACTAAAAACAGGAAAGAGAAGGTGAGAAGATAGGGTCAAAAACTGGGCTGATTCAAATCACTCTACCATTCTATAATTCTCAGTTCAAGGAGAAGGGAGGTAATCAAACAAGAAAAAACCTAAAGGTCTGAGTAGAAATCAGACTACGCAAATTCAGAACATATTAACTTTGAGAAAGCATGATTTAACCCTGAACAGCAGCTGTTCAGAGTAAAATAGGTGGCAATATCTTCGCCTGCAGGAGATTGCACTCTGCTTTATGAAGTCCTTGAAAAAAACACTCTAGGGTCAAAATTAAATAGAAATTGAGAGCTTTTGTGATCCTATCCCTATTCTACAAGTGGAGAGATGAGTTTTGTCAGATCACAGGAAGCATTCATTACAACTGGTAATTAATTTTACAAAATCCAAGCCCCAAGGAATAAAACTTCCCAGAAGTTCAACACAAAACTAAGCACTTCATACTATGACTTTAGACAGGATTAGTGAGAAAGGAAAACTTCTGCTTCTGTTTACAGCCCTCATCATCTTTCACTGCACAAAACTGAATTCGGCATCACATCACTTCAAACAGTGTACATAATGCACAACAAAATGCTGATGATTCTCCATATGTTTTTGACTTCAATTGAAGAAATGCTAAACATAATCTCACCCATTTAAATGCATCAAAATTTGCTCCCTATGGATACACAAGGAAGTTCACAAGCACAGCAATCTCAAGGCTGCTTTATTCCAAACCTCTTAATACTGCTTTGCATGCCTGCAAGCAGCACACCCACAGATCCCTTAGTGACCACATTATGGTTTCCTTCAGATCCAAGTACAATTTTCCACTGTTTCAGCAAAACCATTGTCCGCTGTCTTGAATGTTTCCCTCTATCTTGTTGTATCTTTAGTTTTGTCATTTCACTTGCACTTTAGCAGTTTTTTCACTCTTCCTAAAACATGAATGACTTGGAGATCAGTGATCTATTAAAATGATTGGTGTTCCATTTCTCCTTCACCTTCTTCATTATCATCTTCACTACACTGGAACTGTGACTAAAAAACCTGGTAGTACTTAAGATGTCCAGCTACTCATTTCTCACACTTGGCTGCTACACAGAGCATGTGACCTTCTGTTAGTAAGCTGTTATACATATGTCTCCACCAGATACTGCATGGAGATTATCAGGTAAACATAGCTAGAACATGAAACATGGCATAAAAAAATTAATCTCCTTACAGGGCATTAGAAAACTAAAGTATTTCACAGAATTCAAGCATTAAAAGTTAAAAATGAAATATAATTAAATTGTGACAAGTATTGTATATAAGTCAGATAAGCTAACCATGTTAAATGCTTTCTTTGTAGAGTAAAAAAAAAAAAAAAAAAAAAAAAAAAATCAAGCATTTTTCCTCTCAAGAGACAAAAATTTTTATCAAATGTATAACTGAAATTTCACAGAACAGATAAAAACAAATACCAAAACCCCCAATGTTTGCACTGCACCAGAAGTTTCAGCTATCTTAGATTCTCTGGTACTTCAGTGGTCCTTTTTTTACTAGTTATTAATACGTTCTTGGCCCAGCCTAAGTATTTCACATTACCTGTTATATATTGAAGTCCAGTTAAACAATTGTATCAGTCAGCAATGTAAGGAGTAGTTTAATTTTCTCCCTTACCTTTGAAGCTCTAAAACCATCCATCAGGTCTAGAATTTTAGATGGAAGTTTTGGTGCACTTTCTGACACTCCATTCTGATTTTCCAAAGGTACCATAAAACCAGTTCTGACACTAGAACTGTTTTCGGAATTATAAATAGCTTCTGAGGAACACATTCCACTGCTGTCCAACTTACTAGCACCTTTGTGCTCTGTGAAATTTGAAGAATCATTTTCTCCATCACTGAGGTTCTCAAAAGTGTCCACAGAAGGAATAGAGTCATATTTTTTATGTTGTACATTATGTTTAGAGGGTGGATAGTACAGTTCTGCTAGCTTTTTGCAGAAGTGATTCAGAGGAAATCCCACTACATTCAAGAAGTCTCCATGGACATACTCAACTAACATTCCACCGAGGGCCTGGATTCCATATCCACCAGCCTTGTCCCTGGAGGTGAGAAAGCAAAAGCAACATGTATCTAAGATTAATATTAAATAATATTAAAGGTAGCACGGAACACATAATCCATCAGTATTGCAGAGTCTGGAATAAAGACTAGTGTACTCAAATTAGAGGCAGATTAAATCTACTAGTTAGGCTTAACACTTCAATTTATAAATCATAAGATAAATCAGTATTTCTACTACAGCTGAGTAGCCTAAGGTCTTTATGCTTCAGACAGTCCAAGTGCCATAGTCACCTAAACAGGAGGTATATCAGCTGACTGCAGTCAGACTGTATTGTCACAGGCTACCCAGCATTCTCTAAGTCCTGACTACCAAAAAGGCAACAGCAAGCATCACTGAGACCAACATTGCCACTAGGTCACCCAGATGCATACTGATCCTCACTCTATTCCACAGGATGCTGAAGGGCCTTCAGGAGTAAGTTAGCTCCAAAAGGAGCTCACACCGAAGAAAGCATCTTAGAAATCAAATGACTGTAGTACACCTCTTGCAGATCTCTGTCATTAGATTATCTAAAATGAGGATCAGGAAGATAGAATTTTCTTGGGGAGGAACAACCTATTCAAATACAAAATCCACTTCTATCACTTTCAGCCCTATCCAATTCTTGCATAATCCTCTAAGATATGAGTTGTGGTTTACAACACTGTGCACTGGTAATACTAGTAATTTGGCACAGATATGTCTTTTCACAGAAAGTAACCCTGGAAATCTAATTTGTCTTTAGGAGTAATTATGCAAATTCCACTGTGTAGAATAGATATGCATACAGTCAGATAAGCTGCAATAGACCCAACAATTTTACTGTTTACATTTAAGGAACAAGGCAGAAATATCCTTACTACGTAATACCTGAATCTGAAAGCCTAAGTCAGCAAGCTCTGAAAGCAGAGGTCAATCAGTCTCACATCTATTAAGATAGTATAGAATTACACAAACTACTTCTGAAAGAAGTTTACTACATAAAGACGACTAGATTTTTCATCTTAAATTTGATCAGAACTAGCTCTTTACATTTTTAGAGCTTATTCCTGGGTTCCCTTTCCAATAGCCTCCCAAGAGAAACAAACAGAGGAATCAGTAAATGGGATTTTTTTGAATTGCTGTAAACTAGGGAATTGAGTTTTTCCTTTAATGTCGCATTTTAAGCACCACTGTATGGCTTTGTCATTGTTTAAATTATTCCTTCTTTTATAACATAGTTAAGACTTCCACCACCATCTAAACTAGGAATATTCTAATGACTAAAAAGTCTTTTCATTTTTAAATGAAGTAGCAGTCCAGCAGGATGAAGACATTCTGCTATATGCTGAAAGGGAGACAAACATTTTGAACACCATACTCTCAGCACGGACACCAACAAAATTGGCCACATTTTGTTCGGTTTTATACAGAACTTTGTATTCTAGCATTGCATCCCAAGTAGGATTCTCTACTACAGGTACAGCTTCTAGTCCAAAAGCATGACGCTATGTAGTTAATAACAGTATCACTGATTTTTCAACAAGTGTCTTCCATGCTAAAACTCAGAATGCATCAGTATTTACACAGCTCTCAACTAGCTCTGGCTAATCTGACTGGCTTTTGTAACTGGGTATTTTTATGAGCATAGCACTAACTTCATTTATAACAATATGCACAGCATCAATTAGTTTCCATCGTAATAAAAAAATACAAATCACTTTAAAGATCTTTTGACAAACAACAAGATCCCTGATGCAAATAAAGCATTTTTCATTAACTGACCTTTGTACAGGATCTATGAGTGTGTGTAAAAACACTAATTTAAAAAACAAAAAAACAAAAAAACCACCTACAAACACACACAATACAGCAGGAATGTGTGCAACATCCATTGATTTTTTTCCTAAACCTCACACACAATACAATGGGGGAAAATATGTTAAGAGGTAAAATAGAGGTAACTTTTGAAAATGCAACGTTAAAGCACATTTCCTTCATTAGCTGTAGAACTTGAATGTTCATGACACAAAATAGTTTATCCATGTATATAATATCTGTATTGTTCTACACAGCCAATGAACAAAAGAAAAATCACTGTTACACTAACAAGCACTGCTGCATCTACAGATGAGGGGAGATGCTTGGTTGGGTTTCCAAAGGCAAGAACACATGTATGACTAAGTCTACTCATTACACAAGCCCAAAACAGTTAGGATTACTATGGTCCAGCCCTCTTTCTACAGAGAGCCAGGAAAGATGAAAGAGACCTTGCCAGCAGGCACAAAATCCTTGGCTGGAAAAGAGGAAGAGGAATAAAACAATGGGAAAGGCCATCTTCCTGCAGCCAAAATTTTGTAGGGTTTTTATAGCCTCAGAGTTTACCCTGAGACAGTGCTTCTCCCTCCTTCATGCTTTAAGTTACCTAAATACTTTTAGAATCAGTCCCTGTGTCACCAGTGACTTTTAACACTATATGCCAATTTTGTCCTTGCTATAAAAAGAACTCAATCCAATCCTTAACAGCACGAGTGTCAATTTTCTTTTAATTTTTCATGTGTTCATTAAGACTTAAATGATTTCACAAAATTGAGTAGCCATTAGAAAAAAAAAAGGTCACTTGAACTGCAATAGTGTTTAGAAAAACCTGTATGCACTTAAATGTGTAATCAGTATGGGTGGCCATGAAGGGACAAAAACCCCAAAAGACAGACTTCTTACTGATCTGCAAAATTTATAGAACACTTTTAGGAGTTCCTTCACAAGGCCAGAGCAAATTCTTCCTATCCTCTTGATTATATGAATGAAGATTGATTGGCTTGTGCTTCAGAGTGTAATGAAATACATTCTCTGAACCTTTGATCCTTGAGAAACCCTTGTTATCACACACCCTGTTTAGCAGAACAAAGAGAATGACCCAGCACTGCTCAAGAACCATTTTGCTGCAGCACAACACTGCTAAAGCATATTTTCTTCCTGAGGAAATAATCCAAATATTCAAAAATATTTTTCAACCTTCATTCTTCCTATAAATCCATCATAATTTCTCCTTCAAACTGCCAAATGCATACTAAAAATCAGCTTCCAAAAACTAACTACGAATTTGTTACAAACTGTATTCTTGACAAAACATTCCTCTCTGCATAATCCAATTTAGCTTCGGTTTCTTTAAGAAGCTGGGAACCTTACATGTTCAGAAGGTATGCTTCATTTACACCTAAGCACTTAAATACAAAGTCTACAGCAGTTCCTCTTCACCCAGTAAAACGTAACTATTGTTTTACTGCACAAATGAGTTTAAAAAACACCACAGTTGATATAATTACAGTCAGAATTGAAGTTACAGAGCCAAAATTTCACTTCAGATCACCAGACGTGCAGTCCACAATGCTAACTACGGCCTGATTTTCCTTCACTAAGCTTCAGCTAAAACAAAGGAAAGGCAAATTCCATAAAGTCACAAACATTGCCTTGTTGTCTCCAAAAAAAGTACTTTGTTTAAAAAAAACTAAAGTCTAGTCAACTTCATCTTAGGCATAGTTAGGCATTCTGTTCTCATTCTATTCTGTGGAATTGATGTTGTCTGTAAGTAACTTGTATATTACAAGGGTAGCAGAAACACACCAGCTAAGAGACAATTATGGCATAGAACATATATAAGATAGACAGAAGAATACATGAAAATTGTTGGCACTTCTTGCATCAGGGCAGCACAATTTCGATAAACTAAATAAACCATGTTCTACCTTTTTAATAAAGTTCTCCAGTACCCTGATTACCTAATATTCATTCTATTCACCTGTTTTATAATGAGAACTATCAATTTTCTCAGGTATCCAAGCTCCCTGAATGCCTCTGTTAGAGAGGTAATTGTATACTGCATGAGTGCTTGCCGTAATCCAGAGTATTTCAACAGTCTTCACTTATCAAATGTTAGGGTACTATAAAAGGTAGCTCACCTGGAGCTCCTTGGAGGAATTACACCTCTAGACAAGAACAGAATACCCACCTTGCATCACCCATGCTATCATTTATCCACACAGCAAAATTTCACAGAACACAGGTGTTTTATGATGGTGGCTAAGAACGTACCCTAAGGCCTATTGTCAAATACTGTGTGATAGCTTCAGGGTCTTACTTACATTGGCTCCCCGCTATGAATGTACTCCCATAAGAGCTCTTCAGACAGGTCAGAAAATTTTACTTTAGTCTCTTCATAGAAATCAGTGACTTCTGTCTCTAGCTGATTATCTACAGAAAGGAAGAGGTCTCATTAGAAACAGAAATTATAGTTTAGGGAGCATAACATTGTTTTATTTCATATTCACTTGATGTTTTCTCTTGGGGAAAAATTAAAAATACTACACAGATGTATGAAATTACTAATAATGTTCTTTAGGGAGAGCGGGCTCATAACTTCCCAAATAAAGTAAAAGCTTGCATTTTCAACCTCTGTAGTCCTGTTCTGGGGCTAGCAGGTTGCTCTGCCTCTATGGGATGCACTCTTAAATTAACAATGCTTATGCAGAACTATTTATGGACTGTTAGCATACACATCCAGCACCAAGGGCAACAAACACCCTTCTAACTTCATGACTATTGTCAAAGAACTTTTAACAACACATCATAGTTACAGGTAACTGTTATAAATGCTCGAATGTGAACATGTAGCTGCATCCATGCTGCAGAGTCAGGCATCCAGCAGTCTCATCAGTAACCATCAGTGTCATTTTCATATCAACTCTCAAGAAATACCAAGATTATTTCAGACTTCTGTATCTAGAAGTGGTTGAGAGAAGGCCAGAGGTGCAATAAAGTACTGCACATCTGGGTGTGGACCTTGTTGCATGCAATACACTGAATCTGGTATCATTGCAGACAGAGGCTTTTCCAAAACATGTTCAAAAGGAAACAACCTTGCACAAATGAGTGTGCACATTACGGATTATTAGTTCGCTCTACCCTTTTATATAAATACCAAGTACACATCTCTTGTTACCACTGTTGATAGCAGTGAAAATACTTGAGGACGAGTAAGAAACATCCACAGTACAGACCGAGGGAAGAATACTAACCAAGTGCTAATGGTGTTAGTGTGGAAAAAGCATTTAATGACTCAGATGAAGTAAAAAAATTTGAAGACAGATTACTACATCTTTCAGTACTGACAAAACACCCCCAGTCATCTCAAGATGAAAATTCCACCTGTAACATAAATGTGATACTTAACAGCAGCATATTAATTATAAACTAAAACTAAAAATGTATTCTAGAAAACTCTTCCATTGATTGCATCACTATGCAGACTTATGGTATTTTTATTCATTTAAATGATGTGGCCTAAATTTGTAAACTTCAAATGAGACATGCTGTCATAGCATCAGTACTACAATGTGTGTACTTTCTTCCTAGAGTAAACAATTAAAGACATTATTATTCTTGCTGGATTGCTTACAGGAACTCCTTGATAACATATTTCTTTCGCAGCAGCTCTTTCTACTCTACTGGCATATTAGTAAGGGTACTGGATCAATTACTTCATTTCTATTACAAGAAGAGCAATCATTCTAGTACTGATTAAAATCTGTAAATAATTTGTCTACAGAAAGACTACATCCAGTGAAATTTCAGAGAAATGATCCTTGCAGAAGTTCCAGAATATTGGCACAACTAGAGAAAGTCCCTCAGACCAAACACTCCTCAAATTATATTAATGGTGCAGTTCTCAAAAACCACTTACTATATAAAATTATCAGATAAAGAACATTAATGTATTGTTCCCTACAGTTCATTAACAGTCTGAGGCATTAAACCGTTACTTACCCCTAAAAATGGGTGCTAAAGCTTCCCTTATTTACTGAAAAATGAACTAAGTACAAATATGGCAACTGCTTCTATTCATCAGCTAGTGTAAACACTCAGGAATAAAGTTAATATGGATCAGATTCTGCTCAGTCCCACAGTTTGTAGTGCCTCACTTGAATTTTGTTTAGAATATTCATACAATTTACACTGGTCTTTTAATTATTCCCATAGATTTCAGAGATAATATCTGTAGTATCTAATGTATTTTGTCATCTTCCTTCCTGTGTGAAAACTGAATACAGTGAGGTTGGCTTCTGTGGGGAGTTTTTAGTTTATATAATAAGTGACTAGGAAGCCAATTCAGATTGTATACAAAAAGTTTCTATCCTGTTTCTTCACTTGTCCTTTGAGTTTGTTTCTTCACAAGTCCTTATGAGAGTCATTTTTAATGAAAATACTGAGTTTTAATAAAATGGCACATGTACCTTTACTGCTGCAATGTACAATAGCCACTCCTGTAAAAACACTGTGCTCTTTCCCATTCAACCTGTCAGGGAAAACAGATGTGCATTAAGCAACAGTTATGAAATCAGTCATGTGCAATGATGTTCTATGTGATTATGTTACTACAGCCTGAGAAACAGACCATTATATTAGTATATCACTTGATGGCTCTGACATGTATCTTAAATACTTTTTTAAAAATTTTATTTCAATATAGGTGAAAAGATATTGGCAAAACAAAACAAAAACTATTAAGAGATTCAGTCATTTCAAGCCTCCAAAATCTCACTTGTACCAATGTCCCCAATTTGGAAAAGTAGTGCATGGTACCAGTTTATTTACTGTACATAGGGAGGACTATCACAAATGTTTAAAAAGCCAATCAGCATAAACACTACAATTACAGGCATATTCACTGAAAGTGGGCAATAACTAACTAGGTGATGCAATTTAGAGTACAGAAGTGATACGTACCTAGGGTTTCTGTACTCATTTCATGCACACTGGCCCCCAAGGATCCCATGGCAAGCCAGAGTAACAGATGCAAAGTGCAGAGGAAGAGCACCTATATTTCCTCTTACCACAGATCCATGTGCTCTCTCCTGTAGTGGCTCCAGCACACCACACTGTGGCCAATTAATTTTGAGGGCCTTAAATTTATTAATCTAATGTGTAAACAATGGAAGTATAATAAATATCATGAGGACTTCAAGAGACTAATCAAGGAACAATCTCCTAGAGAATAGCCAGGCCATTATTTGATGTCATCAGAAGCATCTCACACTCTTACTATCCCCCACAAGATTCCACATAATTAACTAAGATGAAACAGTGAGTGAAAATTTTAATCTGTCACCTTGGATATATGCAAATATCTATCTTGTCTGCATTTTTTTTTTTCTGTTCATATAGGACAAAATTAAGAGGTGTTCTAAAAAACTAAATTTTAGGTGCATTTCATACCCATGATTAAGAGACTGACCTACTGAACTTAAAAAACAACCTGAAACATTTTCATGGGTTAGAAGTAGCCTAAGCACTGAAAAAGAAAGAAAAGAAAAAAAAAAGTACTATTTTTGAACTACTTGAACTTGGCATGATTTCAACCAAAAATGGTTGTGAGAAATCTCTTGCGAGGCAGAGTCCTTTGGGAATCTCCTACTAATAACATACCTTGTTTGTTTTTTTTTGTTTGGGTGGTTTTTTTTTTTTTTTTTTTTTTTTTTTTTTAAGACTTCCACTTTTAAGTTAGCAACATGCCAAAATGGATCACAAATTCAGTCTAAGTCATCAATATATAAAAAATATCTAAATTAGACTTACAGAGCAAAATTCCAAAAACCACTAAGGCACTAGTATTCTCTAGGACATGCCTGAGCTACAATGTAAACTGCTGAAACAAGCACTGCCCCTTTTCTGTATTCTTCCCATAAAACAGAAGCCTGGCTGAAGGATACATCACATCTCATCCTTCAGGAATTAGTTATTTAGTTGATGTTTCTTAAAGAGAGTGCTACAAGATAACATTAAGCTTGTAGGGAAAAGTATCCTTTAGGAAAAAAAGCAGAGGCCTCCAAGAACAGCAGCCACTGTGCATGAAGAAAACTAAGTACACTGGAAGTAGATTTTTTTTCCTCTTCACTTAAATTGCAGAATTTAAAGCAATTGTCCATGAACTTTCTTGTACAGGCAGCATTCTTCCATTAAATGTCAACCCTCAAACCACTTCCATGATGGTTCTGTCATCTTTCCCATCATGATTTCTCTCCATAACTCCCCATCTGTACCAGCTGAAGCATCCATACAGTCTTGTGGTAGGTGACTCTGAAAACTAATCCAAGTGAAAACAAAATGGTTCATCACGTCCCTTATCAGCTTCCTAAAATGAAGGGGCTAGAGCAAGCAGGTGTGGGTAAATGTAAAAGCAGGTCTAACTTTTTCCGTGGCAGAACTGTCTTACACTATTTAAAAATTATTGGGAAAATCTGTGTCCATGGAGTTCTTCACATACAGGAAGGTATCTGTACAGCTCCTTTTAAAATAGCTTAATACACACATTTGTAATCTTACTTAAAACTACAGACCTTGACAGCATCCTGTACGCATCTTGCTTATCAACTGGTTTCTCCAGGATCTGCTCATCCACAGACTAAAACAGAAACAGACAGTGAGTGTGCTGCTTTTTCATACTTTTCAGAAACTGAGGTCAGAAATGACATTTAAACCAGGATTTCAGCCAGGGCTTCAAACATGATTCTACTGCATAGAGCAAGAAGCAGACATACTTTGGTAGAACAGGTAATTTAGTGTCAAGCACATAATCAGTGCCTCACTCTACCCTCCAGTAGCTGCAGCTCTCAAATAAAAGGGTAATGCAACTTCTGCCCTTAAGCGTTCACTGTCTCTGTGGAGATGACAGGTATAGAGTGATACCCACTACAAGGCACACTGAACAGTTCACAAGATCTGGACTTCCTGACAGTCAGTTGCTCAAGAACAGAATTTCCATTACATACCAGAGGATGCAAGGCAATACTTATCCAATACCAGTGTCTCTGCAAAAGCAGCAGTAAGGCTCCTAGCACTCAAGATACCAAAAATTGCCTTGTTGGGAAAAAAAAGCCCTAAAACCCACACCCACAAAACCCAAAGGATGCATCATATCACAGGTATAACTTCTCAGTGAAAACAGCTTTCAAGCTTCAACTTCAAACCTAATGATACAAGCATTTTCTACACTTGCCATAAATTAAAACAATGCTAAACCACAGAAGACTTCTTACCACAATAGTGTCTGCTCCTATGACAACATCAGGTGTTCTCAGGTGTTTCTGCAAAGGCATAAAGAATAAAGATACTTCTCAAAAGAGGTAGAAAGATCAAAACCTTTTAAAAATTAAGGTAAGAAAATGTAAGTTTGCTGGTTTACTGGTAGGGCTCTACACTGTCCTGAAAACAAGACACTGTTTCTCCTTTTGCACTGTTTATAAAACAGTAATCATATCACCATAAAAGCGAGGAAAATAGGAGGCTTGAATAAACCATTCTGAGGTCAAGACTTTGCCCCAATACGTTAAACAAATGCACCCAGGAAAGAAGTAACTGAATTCTCAAAAGTCAACCTGGCCTTCGAGGTAGAGAGAATTCCTTTAAAGTGCCCAAAGTATGGAAGCCAGGGAGTACAGCCCTCTAGGATCATTTTTCCATGCCAAGTTTTGCTGAAAAAAACACCAAGCTTTCTTTAGCTATACTTTCCTTCTCTCTCAAAAGGGAACACATACAGCCCATTTGGAGAATTGAGATATAGGGATATATAAAGATTCCTTGTAGCTTTTTCTTGGCTTTAAACTGTAATCTGTCCTAATAGCCAAGTTTTGATTTACTTGCATATTATGAGGTACACAGCTATTATTTAGCACAGCAAGGCAGGAAACTTGTCTAACTGTGATCATTATATCAAAAAATCTGTAGAGAAGCAATTCTACAGAAAGGCTGTTGACGTGCTTTAAATAGTAGAACTAATTCCAAACATCATTTAAAGATTCCTGTATAAAGAAGCGTTTTGAAATCCACTGATCTAGTATTATTGCCAGCATGGGGTTTTGCAATGAAAGCCCACTGAAAGTCAGTGAGGTTAGGTTTAAAATTCACTCTCCTAATGTCATACCATTCTCTGAAAAGGAGCTGACAAACCTGGATAACGATTTACATTAGGGATCATGCAATATTTGCTTTGAAGAGTGGTGACATCTGGGAACACTGTTGGTTTAAAGTGTTCGACATTCCTTTTCTGTCATTGGTATAAGTTCAACAAACATACTCCTCTTTCAGAGCTGCATTAGTAAGAAATTATTATGGTATATTTTGTGGGATCTAATCAGCTAGACTTTCAAACAGGTTCTGGTAGAGAACAGCTGTATGTACTCAAACAGTAATCACAACCAAGGGCAGAAGTCAAATATGCCACTGCAAGTGTAAGTTCTATCACTGGTTTTGACAATATTCAGGAAACAAAATGGATGCCTTGACTACAGGACCTGAAATCCTACCAGCTTCTTCCTTCTTAAAATTAAACTGACTACTACTTTGTCCAGAATCTTTTAAAACTAAATGTCTTCTTTTTGTGCTTTCCTCCAGCATCTCTATGCTGAGAAATTCTGAGCTATTCTGACCACAACTATTCAGCTGAACTACTGCCTAATGAAAGCTATGGCTTGATTCACACTGGTGTGTTCTTCGATAAGAGTCTGCCTCCACAGCCAACAAATACCTGGAATGAACAACTGTACAGCCACACACCAGACTGCTGGAAGGAACTACCAAGTATATATCCCAAGTATGAGTAGGTGTATCTCTTCTGACAAGAGATGCAGGCCACTTCTGTTTGTGGAAAGCCCGAACTGCAGGCACAAGACCTTCTTTTGATTAGGCAAGTTAATTTTGGGAAGCTATCTTTCACAAATGACAGAAAAACATCCATTTGCCTTCGGTGGTGAAAATGCACTCAAGGGATCACCTAAGTAGTACATGCAAATTAAGCCACAGTAACAAGCACCACTGACAGACAAAGATCTCATTGACGAAATAGCTAGTAACTTACTACATGCATTCTGTTTGCTACTTCAAGAGCCTTCTGTTTTGCTGTTTCCACAGCATACTCATAAGGAGCTGCAAAAGATGACTTTTCAAGTGTCTCCTTAAACCAGGATGGAACCACCTCAAAACGCAGGCCCTGTAACGGAGGAAAGCAATGAAGTCAGACTGGTCCTGTTATTAAAGGTTGCGCCCAAGACATTAAGCAAGTGACAAACTTGATTTTTGCCTTATCCACTTTAACATCCCTCCCCCCAAAACACACAAGGGCAAAAACAGTGCTTCGGTTACAGTGTTTGGTGCATACATATCATTTGCAAGCAGTCCAAAACAAAAAGCCCAATCAGAAAGAACTTTTAAACTGGTGTGCTTACACGGTTTTATCCTTTTACTTATTAGAACCTAACTGCATTAGTAATTTCATCTTTCTTCAAAATCTAAGAGTATAAAAGTTATGCACTTTATAAAGAGAATATTTTACCACTGGATGCTTTTTATTGAATTCTTACAGGACCTATACCACCACTGAATTATTCTTACAGGACCTGTACCACCCACACTTTGTGTCATACACTTGATAAACAGAAAACAAGAAGAGAAAGTTTCTCTGTGGTTTTGTCAAAACAAGTCTATTCTTCCTACTTCTTGCCTCTAGATTATACCTGTAACCTTACCACACCCAGCAGACACATTATGTTTCTAATAACTCAGTGTATACTTAAACCTCGGTGCTTCAACACATCTCTATTTTGAAAATAATATACTTCCTCCCATTTAAATTCAACTTCTCTCCTAAAGAATAGTAACACTAAGCAACCTAAATTAGATAAACTATAACATTCAAGTGCCATTCAAAAGCCTCTGGCAGCCTGCCCAGTGAGGTCGACATGTTCCTCCACAAGGGTAGAAGAGTCTGAATGGCAGGTTACAACTTCATTTGTGCTCCACAAGTGCTTTACAGGCAGGATCAGTTGCCTTTTTCCGTTTGTTGTCCCGCCCCCCCGGTCATACTAATAATCCCAATGTTTTCATACATTTCAAAAAACTAAGTCAAATTTTCATTAATTTTGGTATGAAGTACCTATAGAAAGGACAATGGAAGTACGTTTTTAATTACTTCAGTCTGCTGTAAGACCTTCCAAACTTTTCTATTATACGCCACAAGTAATTGTCAGCATTTTTCAGTCTTTTTTATTTGTTTGATTACACCACCTTCCTGTTAGAATACTTTAATCCACTCTCGTATTAACCCGATCATAAGCAGAACTGCCGCACGCGTACTTGCTGACAGAGGAAACCTCACCAAGAACAACTGGGATTAAAAAAAAAAAAAAATATTTCCACGTAAAGCGGCGTGCAGCTCCGGGAACTGAAAGGCGACCGCCGCCGCCCGCCCGCTCCGCGCAGATCGGGGGTCAGGGGCGCGGCGGCCTTATAC